CACGTCTAATCCCAAAATTTGGGGTACGGCATTTAAAACATATATTAGGCCAATTTTGGAATATTCTTCAGTTATATGGAATCCCAAAACTAAAAAACATAGAGAAAAATTAGAAAAGGTTCAAAAATGGTATACAAGGGTGGCTCTTTTTAAGTGTAAAATCAACAAGAAAAATTATATCCAAAGATTAAAATTATTTAATCTCGAATCACTGGCCCTCAGAAGAGTTTTATTCGATTTATCAACTATTTTTAAGATCATTAAAAACCACACCCACTTTACCTCTTCACAATTCTTTATGTTATCTGATAGACCTAATAGGAATAGACATAATTATCAAATAAAAGTAGCTCGTAAAACCTCCAAAACTGAACACTGGATCTTTAACAGATCCATTAATCTCTGGAATGCCCTACCTATAGAGATTGTCAACATTGATAATTATAAGATATTTTGGAACACCCTAAGATCCTACCTTATCGAACTAGAAAGTACCAATAATAGCCTTCTTTATTATCGTTATTGATATTAATATATCAAAACTTACTTTACCCCCACCTACCCACTCCCCCCCACCTACCCACTCCCCCCACCTACCCACTCCCTCCACCTACCCTCTCCCTCCACCTACCCTCTCCCCCCACCTACCCACTCCCTCCACCTACCCTCTCCCTCCACCTACCCTCTCCCCCCTCTTTTCTCCCATCTAGCTTATATACTTGATTTTTTATATACCAATAATAATCGTCTTTACTATCGATATTAATATTTCCCCAAACCATAACCCAGTTCAAATAATAATACTTTTTCAGGCTTTAAAACGGCTGTTTATTGCTTTGTGGCGTTTTGTTTACTTAGTACTCAAAAGTCCCAATCAATATTCATAAATTACTTTTTATTTTATTTTTTTTCCGTTGTCGGGACCTTAGTGTTTTTTCATTTTTTTTTCAAATTTTAATTAATTTTTTTTACATTTTAAGATTTATTCTTTAAGAATCAAATCTATTTCTTAAATTTTTATTTAAGAATCATGGACATTGGGCCTATTACTTTCAAAGCACAAAAATAAAAAAAACTGCTTCTTAACCTAATATTAATTTATTACATGTCCATGGTTCTTAAATTTCCATTTTTCATTGACTTCAATATATTTTGTTTCCTAGACATTATTTTTTTTACTTTTAAATTTTAATTGATTTTTTTTAAATTAAGATTTATTATTTAAGAATCAAATTTATTTCTTAAATTCTTATTCAAAAACCATGGTCAATGTTCCTATTACTCTCAAAACACTTAAAGATAAAAGAACTGCTTTTTAAGCGAATATTAATTTATTACATGTCCATGGTTTTTAAAAGTTCCAATTTTTTCATTGACTTCAATATAATTTGTTTCCTAAACATTATTTTTGATTTTCAAATTTAATTGATTTTTTTTAATTTAAGATTTATTATTTAAGAATCACATTTATTTCTTAAATTCTTATTCAAAAACCATGGTCAATGTTCCTATTCCTTCCAAAATACCAAAAAATAAAAGAACCGCTTCTGAAGCAAATACAAATTCAATTACATTCCCATGGTTTTTAAATTTTGTTTTTTACTTATTGACTTCATTATTAATTGTTTCTGATTTAAGAGGCTCCTCTGTGAGTCCATTCGGATAAAAGTTATATACAAATACCTTAATAAATATATTTAAATGCAAATATTTTCAATTTTAACTTATTTTCATCAAAATATAAACAAAATCTGTTATGCTAAATATTGCTGTTCGAAATACATTCTTGATAGTTGAATCGGCATAATATTGGAGAAATACACAAAGAAATCTCCTTAGATTACCTATGTCATTTTTATGAGTTTTTAGTTATATATTTCTGGATATAAATTAAAAGTTTTTAGTTATGTTTTGACGAATTCGCATAGTGATGCCGAGTAGAGTAAAAATTCTGGTCATTTAAGTATATGTAGTTTAATTAGTAATTTCTGTATTTTTGCGACCTTGCAAACCCTTTTTAAAATTTAAAGCACATCGCTTATTTTTTTTAAAGTTTGTCAAAAATAAATTTATCGTATACGATACCGATCTTGTCTATCTTCAGTTTGTTGATCAGTTTAAATGATACTTGAATTGATAACCAAATTATATTTTTTAACTGTATACATATAATCTTATGCTTTCAATAATTTTTTCAGACTAAACATTTATGCCACGTTTCCCAGCCTAACCCCTCTAAACGAGATTAATAGTCGCTTAGGCAAAAATTTAAATAAATTTAAATAAAATAAATTTTATTATTTGTTCATCTGCTAAAATTGATCATCAGAATTTAAAGTATCACATGAAAGCTAGAAGGATATCGATAAAATAAATTGTCAATGTGCGTTAAAATGGCGTTATTAAGGAAGAAAAATTTAGAAAGTTTATTCTTAAAAGTTCCTCATACTTAGTGATCATTCTGAAAAGTAATCAACCGGAAAATCAGGCAAATGATCAACTGGGTGAGTGAAAAACAATTTTTTGTCACCTTGATATCAGTTCTAGATAAAATTCTTTTTTACGTTTGGTGACCAAAATTCCCATTGGTGAACAAAATTTCAGTGCCCAATATTCCGTTTTTTAATTTGGTGTCCAAAATTCCAAAAAATTGGTGGCTAAAGTTCCGAAAAATTTTAGTGACCGTTGTAATCGTTTTAGACGTGCGATCCTTTGAACGTTTTTAGCCGTGGCGATCCCTTTATGTGACGATCCTTTGTAGGAACACGGTCGGATAGCCGAAAGAACAAAAGGCAGTAGTCGATGAACATATAGTAAAGCAGCTGGGCTATAGCTATTTCTCTCCTTTAGCTAGTGCAAAAGGTTATTCGGCGGCTGGGAGCGAACCAGCATCTTCAGTAGACCGGACTGATGTGTTAGCCATTACACCACGCCGCCTACTGCTCAGCTATATGCTTTACAATATGTTTCAGAAAAGGAAATTTGATCTTGAGTTAAATAATCGTGAATGGCATTTACTTACTTTAATATAGGTTAATTAGATTAAGTATAGGAGGATAGTTGAAAAATACAGCCCCAAGTTTAAAATACAACCCCATTTTAACAAATTAAGAATTTCCCGGTTTCCCGGCCGGGACCCGGTCATTTCTGACCGGGATGAAACCGGGAACGGGAATTCCCGGTTTTCCCGGTCCGGGTCTCTCCCGGTCAACCGTCAGAACCCGCTTCCCGGTTACCGGACCCGGTTTTTTCAAAATTTCGATCTCTACCTAAAACCAGGCCGCCCTAAAACGATATTTTGGCGTTTATTTTATTATTTAAAATTACACAGCATAAAATCTTTTTTAAAATAAAAAAAATTTTAAAAGAAATTTCCGCCTAATTTATTAAATTTTAAAGAGGCAAATTATATAATTTTATATTTATTCACCTATTTATTAAAGTAAAATTTATATCCTATTTAAGCAAATTATTAAAAGGAACTTCTTATCTTTCTAAGGAACATTTTAAAACTAAACCAAGAAAATTCATAATCAATTAAAATTGAAAAATGAATACATCTATTTTATTTAATTTTGTTACACTCTCAATTATTTATGTTATTCTTTACTTATCATTCGCTGAAGCAGCCAACATAATGGGTATTTAATAACTGATATAAAATTTAATATTATGGAGTAAATACTGCCTGGGTACAGAATCATAGTCTATCAGAAATGCTCATATATAACGGTCATTTAATTGTAGAATTTATACCCTAACAAGATCAGGATAAAGAGATGTAGATATGTTTATGAGCTTATTTTGGATAATTCTCGGGAGATCTATCCCATCCATTGTTTTACTTTTCCTGGAGCTGGTTCGACTTTTTTAATGACGCAAAATAAAAAATATATAATTATTTTTATACTAAATTTTTTTCAAGATTATCCTGATACTGGTGCAAATAAAGCACATAATCCAAAATTAGGAGGAGGACGATAAGGTGGATTTGCAGTAATCTGGGTTTTTGCTGGTTGAATGAATAAAAATGTGATTAAAATATGAAAGTTGAATAAAATTGTGAATTAGTTTCCAGCAATATTTTGGGTTGAATAAATTTTTGTAATGTTTAATTGTCCAATTTCTTTAAGGAAAATTCACTACAAAAATTATTAAAAGGGCAAAGACCCAAACTAACACTAAAGAACCAACAGCTTAATTAAAAATTTATAACTGAATGGCAGAATCAGTTCTTAAGAGTAAAAAAAACTAAATCTTGACAAGTAATCAAAGATTTATGTACAAATCTTTTCCTTAGATATTAATGAACACTTTTTCATAAATTTTATAAAATTTAAGAAAATATTTGAAATAAATTTTATGCTTAATAAAAGTACGGGAACTTTTGCCGCACTCTGTATGTTTTGGAGACATTTTAGTGAAAATTTATCTTGTAATTTTAACTTCTAATTTCAAACTGAAGCCAAATGCGGGACCGCGATTCGAAATAAATAAAAGTTCAACTCATATTCGGACTCATCAGCATACATAATTGCCTACTGTCAAACATATATAATATAGGAATTAGACCTCCTTTTTTCTAGGGAGATGAAACAATGTGATAAAATGCGCTACACAAACCGAACATTTACCGTTAAATTTTCTAAAAGAATCAAAAAGTGTGAAATTATGAAATTGTCAGACAAAATTTTAAATTTAAAGAGTTTTATAGAGATAAAGATCCTCGAAGTTGGCACCTCAAAAATGACAATATCCTAAGAATAGCAAGCGAAAAAATAGAGAAAAGGAAAAGAGAAAAATCGAGTCTGCACCAGGGGTCGGTCGAAAATGACGAAGGTCTAAAAAATCCACAGTTAAAAATGTACAGCGGAAGTGCGATTCTCTCAAGTATATAATTATAAAATATTTTATAATTTTAACAAAAAAAATAAAAAATAATAATTGTGTAATGCCAAATTCATTTTAAATCCCGAAATTAATTCTCATCTACTTTCTTTTTATTTTCCTCCAGCACATTGTTTAACAGCATTCCAATAAACATCAGTTCTAGCTAAAGAACATCCATTTGGCCCTCCATTATGAAGACGTGACATTCTCTCACAATCACTAATTGGTCTATTACACTGACTTGCATATCGGTTAATATAAGCCTTAAGTAAATATATTTAATGTGCAAATATTTTGTAAAAACCCTAATGCATTGAACAGAACAACCATAATCTAGAGCACATCGTTTCCACCCATCCTCTGTACTTTCTCCACTTCTTAGGCCAGGAGTGCCGCAATCGAGATAATAAACATGTTTAATCTGTAATTGAAAATTATTTTACAAATCAACATGAGAACAAATAAATCAACAATTAAATGATTATTTAGTGTTATCCGAGGACATAAATAATATTACATATGTCTTTGCTGAGTATCCGATATTCTACCATATCAATTTTTTGTGTACTCATGAAAAGTACATATATAAAACCGAGACTTTTAATTTATTTATATCTTTTTAATTGACTAAAGCAGCTGGGTTATAGCTATTTCTCTCCTTCAGCTAGTGCAAAAGGTTAATCGGCTGCTGGGTGCGAACCAGCATCTTCAGTAAACCGGACTGATGTGTTTATCTATTATACCGCACCGCCAACTGAAAAGCCTTAGGAATTAAATAGCTATATGCTTTACAATTCGTTTTTTTTTCAAAAACTCAAATTCGGAATAAAATTTTTAAATTAAACTAAGCACTCCACTTAACAGCTGTATTTCAAATTTATTTTTCGTTTTTAATTTAAAAATATATCTTCTTATACTATGTATTAAAAAATACTTGAAAGTATCCACAACTAACAGCATCATCATCCCATGCACAAGGACGAGGTGTACATCCAAAAGATTCATGCTTACAAATACAACTTAAACAAGTTTGTTCGTCTGCCGTTTTAATTGAAACAAAAAATAGAGAAAAAATAATAGCTTTAATGAGGGCTTTCATTTTTAAATTTTTTTTTGAATTTTTAAAATAATTTTTCTTTTTGGATACATTTCCTCAATTTTCCTTCTCATTTTATATAAAATATTTTGGCAAATAATGTAACAATAAAATTATTTTTTTTAAATTTTTTATTTATTCAGCCAATAAACGTTTTAAAAAATCAACAAAAATATTTTTAAATATTTATTTTTAGGCTTTAACAATGAAACAAATTTTAAAAATTTTCAAAAAAAATTTTTTTTGTTTATTTAAAAGTACAAATTAAACTTAAATAAAGAAATTTTTAAAATTCACTTTCTATTTTTGAGTTTTTTTTATTTGTACAGATTTAATTTAAAAATTGACATTAAATGAACTGTCTGGAATTTTTATTTTTAAAATTATTTTTAGATTTTTTGTTTGTTTCTTTATAGATTTCTTTAGCTACTTCTAACTAGTTTAAATTTTAAATCAAATTTAGTAGATATGCCAAATAATTACAATTATTATTTAAGCATCTCCCCGGAGAGGGCAATTAAATGGAAGGGTAATTAATTGGGTTAATTAATTATTTGAGAGAGGGCAATTATTTAGTATACATACATATGTGTATGTTAAGTAAATCTTTTTACAATATTTGTACAAAATTATACAGAAAATGTACAAAATTTATAAATTTACTTATAATGTAGAAATAAATTCTTAAAGTATCAATTTAAAATTTTATCTTTAAATTTTTAATTTCCTCAATTTCTTTTATAAAACTCGTAAACGATATCCACTAGGTTCGACTGCAACTGTAGTATGTCTTATAGCTGCAGCAAATTCTCCTGTTCTTGGAGGACATGCTTAAAATTAAAAAATTAAAAGTTTTTTAAAGAAATATTCAATTTAAATAAATTAATTACCACAATATTCAGCATCAGAGCCAGGAGAACCAACACCTCCAGGCTTTCCTGTTTCACCATCTTTTCCAGGTTCTCCAGGCGGGCCAGGTGGTCCAATTGGTCCTGGAGGGCCTGGCTCTCCAATTTTTGGAGTGCTTTAAATAAATATGAAAATGTGTTAATTTCATTATTTCTTACTCTCCTGGCAGACCAGGCTCTCCTTGCTTCCCTGGAGGGCCTGTTGCTCCTTTCGGCCCAGGTTTAGAAGTAGATGACTGTCCTGAAGTCCCTGGTTTTCCAATCACTCCAGACTCACCTGGGGCTCCTAATGGGCCTTTATCGCCTCGAGCACCTGGTTTTCCTGGATCACCCTGCAGCGAATAATGTTTACTTTTTGGCATAATATAATTTAATTTTTCTAAACCTCTTTTCCTGGTAATCCCGGTTTTCCATTCTCACCGAGTGGGCCAGGTTTTCCAGGCGGTCCATCACTTCCTGGCGCTCCTTTTACCCCCATAGGGCATTTGATACAAACAGATTTTTGCATATTACTCACAACACCAATTCCTGCAATACCTTGATGTCCTGGTTGTCCGGGGATTCCATCTTCCCCAGGAATTCCTTTAATTCCTGGAGCGCCTGCTGGACCTGCATAATAAAGAATGTATTAATTTAATAAAATAATTTTTTAAATAAATTTATTACCCGAAGGACAATTTTTAGAACGTAAAGCACAACTACCACAGTTACGATTATTTAAAGTCTGTTGTTGTTTTAATTGGAAATTTTGTTTCCCCAAACTTGCTGATTCAACAGCAGCTGTTCCCAGACTGTCGTAACCTTGCCGTTTTGTTCTCAATGAATTTACATTTAAATTATTCTGATTAACATTCATTATTTTATTCCAAGCTTTATTTTCCAAAATCTTTTTAATTTTTTCATTAAATAACAATTAAATCACTAATTAATTACATTAAATTCCTCCAATTCCAAATTAATTTCATTATAAAGATTGCTTAATTCACGCAAGAGTGAAGCACAAACAATTAATGTAGCAATAATAAAAATAGAAATTGTAATTAGTATTGGCCCAATAATTGTTTGTTTTATTTTGTTTGATGATTTAATTGACGAGGACATTTTATTTTTAAATAAACTTTATAATTTTTAAAAATTAATTTAAAAGGTTTATAAATTTTATAAAGGAAAAAACAAGAAAGATGCACTTTCTTCACTTTAACTTTCAGAGCTTTATGCTAACATTAGAGACAGGCGCGGGACAGAAGCCCGCGCGGGATTTTGCGGGATCCCTCGTACACAATCGCACACCTTTTGCATTTACGGGATTTTGCTGCATGCGGGATTTTTCGGGATTTATCACGCAAAATCCTGTTACGCAGGAGTTTTTAGAAAATAATCCTGGCGCAAGATCACGCAAACACGATTTTGCCGGTCTCTAGTTTAAAAAATATTTAAATTACATATATCTATATAAAGCTATATGTTCATATAACTATAATTTCTTGTAAAAAATAAAAATATTAACTAAATAATGATTATATATCCATAAATATCCCCCACAAAACTCATCATTACAACATATATTTATTTTTGTATTTAATAAATAACAGGCTTCTCCGACTTTGTTTTTTTATTTCAGGAGCCTATATGTCGCGCATTTTTTATTTTAATAAAAATGAAAAAAAATACATAAAAATTTATTTATTAAACAAATTTGTTTTCTTTGTAAAATAAATGGTTGAGTGAACAAAATAAAAGCTTTGATGGTGTTTTTCTTTTTAAAATAAATTTTCTTGTTTTTTTTCTGCATGATCTATTTTTTTTCTTGAAATGAATTTTTTAATTTGATAGAATTTTGAGAGATAATTTAACCGTTTTGTTAATCTTTAATAAGTCTGAAATATACATAGTTTAAAAAATATTTGGCTAAATTATGGTTTTAATTTTTCGGGACTAAAAATTTTTCAGAAAATTGGACTCTAAAATTTTGGAATTTTAGGAAATGTACATACTTTAAATATAAAATTATATGTATGTAGTTTTAAATTTGAAAAAAAGTAAAAATAGAATTAGAGATCGGCTAAAAACGCCTGTTCCGAATTTAGTCTTTCTTTTGCAAATGTTTAGTATCATACATTCTCATTGAGCCTAACAAAAATCTGAAAAAATCTCGGGAAATTACTACACTTCTTTTCTGCTGCTCTTTATTTGTACACCGAAATTTTTCCAAAATTTTCCAGATGTTTATTAGTACAATGCGTGTTGTGTATGTATGTTGCTGCAAATTTGAATAAGAAAGGGCAATATCCGGAACAAACTTCAAATAAATAAAATAATAATTTTAAACAAAATAATTTTTATTTCCAAGCATCTTTAAGCATTGTAAAATGTTTTTCCATTTCATCATTATTTATTAAATTGCTTCCATTAATTGCAGTTGGAATAGCATTTTCTTCAACAATATTTATTCTGTTAGATTTTTTAAATTCTATTTTATAAATAATTTTTATTAAATTTTTCTTCAATGTTGAGTGATGACTTTAAAAATTATTTAATTAATTTATTGAAAAATATTTTTATTAATTTTTTATTATTTTCTACATAAGATTGTGAATTATAAAATATTTATTGTCTAAATAATCAGTAATTACATAATTAAAGTTAGGTTTTTCGAAAAAACAGAGACCATTGATCACCGTGACTGAAAATTTCGAGATCGGAGGTCAAAATTGAGTCGAATTCTGAGGTCGAGGGAGTCTTCCATTTCTTAGAAAAAAGTCGATTTTTAGGGGTGTATATTTAGCAACGTTCCTAGGCAAGGTACTTGGCGAGAACCGAGACCGAGGTGTCGCGTTTTGTACGCGAAACTATTTTTGTATTTTTTGCATCTGCCATAATTTTGAATATTTTCTAAATTTTTTGTAAACTTAACTAGTACCAGCCAACACAAATTTAATCTTTTTAATTGTTCATTGAAAACCCGTTAGTCATTCTTTCAACTCCTTTGATCTAAAAATGTAATTTCTAACTTTTACTAGTTGTCACCGAACATCTGCTATTTTTAAACTTTGTCTATGTAAATTCCAATTAAAATGACCGGCCTATAAAAGCCCATATCTTTACTCTTAATTTAGCTTCTTTTTAGCTTCACTTTAGCTGCTTCTTAGCTTTATTTCAACATTCACCCTTCTTTAGCTCAACAAGGCTAAAATATTCCTTAAAGTGTTTACCAATAATTTATGCCCGATCTTAAACAAGAAGATCATATATTTCCCCTGATTATCCAGAATATATTTCTCCAATCTTAACAAGAAGATTAATCTAATTTGATCCCAGTTTTACCACTAGACTTTAAATTTTGAGCCACTTTTAATTTGTATATTTCGAATTCAAAGTAAATAAATTTTTTATGGTTTTTCATTAACTTAATAAAAATATGGCAAACAACAATTTTGCCTTAAAATTCCATTTTTCAAAAAAAGAAATTTGGTTTTTTATAGCTCAGCCGGTGACCCGTTATTAACCGGGCATCATATCCTCTACTCCAACTTTTAATATTTTTTGCCAAATATTCTTTTGTTTTCTCCCGATTTATTTAAAATGTCAGCATTCTACAGAGAACAGATTAACAACCTTTTCATTCCCGCCACTAAAATCGTAGAAAACCAGAAAACCTTCCCTGTCCCGATAAAATGCCTTACCCAGACTACGACCCAATTTCATGATTGTATAAGGTCTATTATTGGCGACCTTGATATCGAAAAACAAAATGCAACATTCCTTCTTGACAACTTATCCTTATCCCACTCACAATGGATGGCTCTGAGGACTTCAATGACTGAAAATGAAAGGCTAAACGACAGCCGAATATTCGATGAATTCCTACAAAAAACACCATATTTAAAAATTATTAATGAAATTAAACGCTACTCCCGTAAACTACGTTGCTACCGTAATAATTTAGAAAATTCCTTACCTAAAAATTGCTTACAATTTGACCATTCTGACCTCCTTCCCGAATTAAATTTAGCACCAGATTGTATTACAACTTTAAAATCTCCCCCGAACCAACCTTTTAAAGAAAATCTTCAAAGCCCTTTACCAGCACCCTATAATTCAGGCAACCATTTTTATTCTAACCAGACCCATACTCAGATTAATTTATCGCCAAATCCTTTAAACCAAGAAAACCTTCCTTCCACCCAAAATTCAAACATTTTAAGAAATGAATTTAATAATTTTTACGGCTCCCAAATTCTAAACCACCAATCTTCTAACAATAATTATAAAGAAATTTCCTTTGGACCACCTCCCGGCTTTGACTCCTTTGAAAAGATTCCCATTATTGATAAAAGTAAACCTGATGACATCAAAAATCCTAATTGTGAAGAATTAATCCCATTACCAGAGCTTATAAATGAGAATTGTGACAACAAACAACACATTAATTCCGAAGAATCACAACATAATCTAAATGATAATCCCCCTCCCGGCTTTCCTCCTCTCGAAGAGATTTGTATTATTACAGACAAGAATAGTTCTGATGATTTTAAAGATTCCATTTGGGAAGAACAAATCCAATTACCAGAAATTATAAATGAAGAATATGAGGACGAACAACACACTTATTTGGAAGAATCACCAACTGATCTGATTAATAATTCCCCTCCAAGTTTACATGATTCCCAGTCTAATAATTTAGAAACTCCCATTCCATATGAAACCAATTACATTCCTAAATCAGAATATTTAATGAAAGAATCTACAATAATTACCACCGCTCCTAATTACCAAGAATTTTTTTATGTAAAATCAAGAAAAGACAACATCCCCAGGCTCCGTAAAAAACAAAAGATAGAATTGCCCAAACAAATATGCAGAGAACCAACAATTATAAACCCTTCCCGACCCAATATTACCACCCCACAAATACGCCCTAAAAGGATTAAAGTAGTCCATCCGATTAAACTTAAACATTGCAACACCCCCACTAAAAATAATGTCCATTTGAATTGTTTGAAGCATACCCATAAAGAAAATCCTTCCTCTCAACTTCCTCCATTGAAAGCAACCCGAATAAATAAGAGAAGAAATCTTACTATTAAAAAATTGTCTACTACTTTGTCAAATATTAAGTTGTTTGAACTACAATTTATTCTACACGAGGTAATAAATTGGAAAGAAATACTCTCCATGATTGACAAACAAGACTTCACAGCAGAGCACCAAACCACTGCTAACAAGATTGGTAAGATTAAATGTAAATATATAGAAAGTAATTCCCTCAATTTTACCCTCTTCCTAATTCCGCACATATGCTCCTCCCAAGAATATGAATGTGCCTTTAGTCCAAGAATATGCTTTTGAATCAAAGAATGATGATACATACTTTTGTGTAAAGAAAAGAAAATTTGAAGTGAAGAAAAGAAAACCCCCAAATTTTGAAAGAATCATTTTTCTGGTCGCCCCAGTGTCGCGTTTTGTACGCGAAACTATTTTTGTATTTTTTGCATCTGCCATAATTTTGAATATTTTCTAAATTTTTTGTAAACTTAACTAGTACCAGCCAACACAAATTTAATCTTTTTAATTGTTCATTGAAAACCCGTTAGTCATTCTTTCAACTCCTTTGATCTAAAAATGTAATTTCTAACTTTTACTAGTTGTCACCGAACATCTGCTATTTTTAAACTTTGTCTATGTAAATTCCAATTAAAATGACCGGCCTATAAAAGCCCATATCTTTACTCTTAATTTAGCTTCTTTTTAGCTTCACTTTAGCTGCTTCTTAGCTTTATTTCAACATTCACCCTTCTTTAGCTCAACAAGGCTAAAATATTCCTTAAAGTGTTTACCAATAATTTATGCCCGATCTTAAACAAGAAGATCATATATTTCCCCTGATTATCCAGAATATATTTCTCCAATCTTAACAAGAAGATTAATCTAATTTGATCCCAGTTTTACCACTAGACTTTAAATTTTGAGCCACTTTTAATTTGTATATTTCGAATTCAAAGTAAATAAATTTTTTATGGTTTTTCATTAACTTAATAAAAATATGGCAAACAACAATTTTGCCTTAAAATTCCATTTTTCAAAAAAAGAAATTTGGTTTTTTATAGAGGTTCCGAGACCGAGAGTGGAAAATGGGCGAGGACCTCGGCCTCGGCGGTTCCGTGACTTTTGCGCCGAGAACATTTGCGCCGCGACTTATGCGCCGCGACTTTTGCGCCGGGGGACTTTTGCGCCGCGACTTTTGCGCCGGGCGACTTTTGCGCCGCCACTATCATTAAAAATATATCAATAACTACAGCCGGACCTCACTTTAGTAGGGTTGTCGAATAGTTGGAAATCTTCGGATCTGATATCCGAACTGAAAGTTTCGGATATCCGGCATTTTTCGGATCCGGATTTTCTAAACAATGGCGGCGCAAATGTCGCGGCGCATAAGTCGCGGCGCAAATGTTCTCGGCGCAAAAGTCGTGATACCGGCCTCGGCATGCCCCAACCTCGCGCAACCCTAATTTTAAATTCAAAATTTTTCCTTTAATGATAACAATTTTGCTTATAAAATTTTTAAAAATAATTTTATATTTACTAACGTAATTATAATATATTCAATAATTCCATTAAGAATAGATGCAGACATATTTATATATAAAAATGCCAGACTTATTATATAATTAGGTACTTGTAGGTAAAGTAATAATAAAGAAATTGGATAATTAATGTTTTTGATAAAATAACAAATAAAAACTGGGTAGAGTTGTTTACTTGTTTTTATATTTTCTGACATCTTTAATTAAAAATTATTAAGTAAATAATTTAAATTAATTAAAAATTAAATTTAATTTAGATTTATTATTAAAGAAAAATTACTTGAAATTTTACACTCAACGAATACTTAATTCCAGATATTATAGAATTTTTGTATTTATTCATATAATAACCACCAATTAAATAAATAAACTATAAATGGTTAATATTTAATTTAGTATCCTTAACTTCACAAAATTATACCATCAATTATTACTAAATACCAGAGGTGGGTCGGAATTCCGATTTCCACTTCCGACGTTTTTTCCTTCCGATTTCCGCAATTTTTGAAGCATATTTCCGACTAGATTTCCGATTTCCGAAAAAAATTTTCTTTCCGATTTCCGAGTTCCGATTTCCGAAGCCAGTTCCGATTTACGGCTCTTCCGATTTCCGACACCTTTGACTGCTCCGACCCACCTCTGCTAAATACAACCCCTCTTTTTGCTAAAACCTGCAGCTATTTAATGTGAAAAAATTTTATACCAGAATTTCAATGAAACTTGCGATGATTGAAACAATTAATTGTATAATACTCATTAATGTTACGTCCCAAGATTTACTAATTGTTAATGTATTGCTCAGTGAATATATAAACTTAAAATTAATTATTGTCTTTAAAAATACTTTAAAAATAAGAGAAAAGTTAAATTATAAAACTAAAATTTATATGTTTAATTAATCGTCAGTGTCATTTTTAAGGCTTGAAAGAAATGAAAGGTAGAGTGGATATGTTGGTAAGCTTCACTAAGTTTTCTTTGAATAAGACTAGGGTATTCGAACCAAACTCTTCACACGTCACAAAAATTTGTAGCGAGAAACGAAAAATGAGGAGGAAGGTAAACTGGTGTCGGAAGGAACGAGAACTGCCTATCCCCTATGGCCATTTTAATTAAACACTAAATTTTGTTTCGAAGCAACATAAATAAAATTACAACAATTTTCAAAAATTATTATTTAAAACCATACAGCTAAGCAAGTGGCAATAAAACCAAAATACGCATTTTTTGTTTTTTCATAATTTTTAAATAATAATGAAGCCATTAAACGCTCAATGAAGAGGATATGACTAAGCAATCCTGCACACCCCCCTGTTAGGCTGGCAATCATCTAGTATATAATTATTTTTTTGGAGGGAAATTAATTTTTGATTTAACCTGAAAAATAACATATCCAGGATTAAAAATATCCCCAGAAATGATTTTTTGTGAGACAAGAGAAAATCTCCCAACTTCAAAAAATATACTACATAAACTTTGTCCAATTAATATTATACGTAAATTTGGATGTAAAATATTTGTTTTTAAAAGAATTAATAAATTTAACAAAGAAATTAATAAAATAATTGGATGGATAATTAATTCTAAAACACTAAAAATATAGGCTATATTAATGAATATTTGTGGGGGAATAATAATAGTTATATTTGGTGGTGGTTGTTGTAGAGTTGTTAAATTAGAAGACATTAATTTAAATATTTAAATTAATTTGGTTTTTGAATTTAATTTTCTTTTTTTTATTTAATTTTTTTTGATATTTAATATTAAATAATGGGAACGAAACAAAAATTATTTAAAAAACTAATAAGTACATATGCGTGACATAAAATTTTTAAATTTTTTGTTAATTAAAATTTGTAGCCAAATGTGAAATTTAATGCTTAAAGGCGATAACAAATCGTAAATATTTTTATTTATTTAATTTTATTAAATACGACATTGGAAATTTTCTTAGAACTGATACGAAAGTATTAGACGTGGACAAATAAAGATTAAATTTCAATGTTTGGCGGTATTTGATTATTTTTGTACTATAGCGTATACAGCAATTATACATTTAATATTTGAATTATGTATTTAAAATGTCCAGAATTAAATACAAAAAGAAAATATCAATCTTTGTAAAATCACATGAAATTTATCATATTTTTATCACTAAATAAGTATTAAACTTTTAATGGTAAAATTTGCATGTTTTACCCCGCCCTAATTATAAGTTTTTTTTCCTAATTTACATTTTTAAATATTTTTAAACTCATTTCGTAGCCCAAACAATCCTCCTTCATTTCCTATAAGTCCGGTTCCATTATTGGACTTTTTCCAAGAAAATCATCATCTCCTCGCAAAATTCAAAAAGCACCGTCCAAAAAACTTTAAAAAATTCCGGTAGGAAGGTTTCTGTAAAAATTTTTTATAAAAAGTATTTAGACTAGTAGCCATGACTTTTCACTTTAAAAAAAGTGGCAGAAGCCGATCAGTAAGTAATATTCCCAATTAATTTAATTATTAACTCATGATAAAAGAATCATTTATTTATACTATTTACAAAAATTTAATTAAAAAAGAAAATAATTTTTATTTCACTCCCAAGCTTTTTTAAGCATTTCAAAGTGTTTCTGACACAATTCAGTTTTCTCTTTAATTATTAAATGTTCTCCATCTATATTTAAAGGAAGTTGTCCTAACAACGTTGGAGCTTTTTCACTTGGAACTATTTTAGTTGAAGGGATTTTAAAAATTTTATTTTGAAATTTTCTCAAAAGTTGTGCGGATATGCCATGATGAGAGAAGCGCAAAAATAGTGTTTTTACATTGGTTCGACCACTTTAGGACCCGGTTCCTAATGCATATTTTTGCATATTGCGGTCCTTTTGTGTATATTTGCTTTTCTGTGCATATTTTGGGAAATTTTCATATTTTTACCAAAATTTGAGCATATTTTGGCAAACATAATAAAAAATTTCCACACAGATAAATAATTTTTATTATCATAAAAAAGGATAATAATTTAGTGTATGTACTTTATTAGATTCTACTATATTAATTTTTTCTATTTCATTAAATATAAAAAAAATTGTTGGCAAAATTTTTATATTAAATTTAAAATTATGTAAATGACTGGTATTGCTGAATTCAATTTTAGTTTTAGTTTTTAAAAGATTATCAGCTAAATAAACAAATTTTCTAAACAAAAATTAAAGAGAGATACTCGAGAATTAAAAGATATTAAACTTGACTACATATAATTTAAAAAAGGATGATTGAATTTAATCAATTTATTAACGACGTAAATTTTTCTTTTATCTTTCTGGGAGTGAAAATTATAAATAAAATTTTATTTAAATTAAAAAAAAAGTTAAATTAATTAAAATTAAACACATACAAAAAATTTTAATTTAAAGAAAATTAATTTTTATAATCATTAATTTATAAATATTTTAAAATATTTATTTGGTTTCAGCTTTTTTATGTTAATGTACTTGCAATAAAGAGATGATATATGTATTAATTACCATTGTTTGGATATACCGTAAATGCTGTAATAAATATAAGCCGAGGGATAATATTTTACAATAGGCACTCAGAGTGTTATATGTGAAGTATATCGGGGGATTAAAGAAAAGAGCAAGGGAATTGAACATATATCGGGAGATCATAGGATTTAAAGGATATTCAAATTTGACTTCAAGTTATGGAGTTACTGCATTTTATTGATATTTAGATTTTGATAAATTAGAAGGCTAAGAAGCCAGATTTCTTCCTTCTACATATAAGAGCTGCAGGCGAAAATTTTGAAAATTTAGAAAGGCTGAAGGTAGAAAAATCTTTTTTTGATCATCCCTCCTCGTATTTATTTAAAAAAAAATCTTCATAATTTGAGTGTGTAAATTTTTGGGTTTCAAAAGACAAGAACACGTCTAACGCCACAACGCAAAATCGGCCAAATATGGATGCCATCCGCCATGACGCACATCGCTTTATCCGAATACAAAAGATGTAAATAAATATTCTACCGATTCAAATAATTTAATTACATCAAAAACTAATTTTATTTAAAATTAAAAAAGTACTTTTTCAATCATTCTTAGTATTTTAATCACTTCTTTTCAAGAAATTTTCAAAAAAATTGGAGAATTTAAAGCTATCCATAGGGTAACATTCAAGTTGATGAGAAAGGATTAAACGCATAAAATGCTCATTTTCAATAGCAACATTAATTAAACGAATACATTCATCCAATCTTTGAGCCCCTTCAATTAAACCTAATCTTTGTTGATTATATTGAAGTAAAATTTTTGTAAATTTAACAGATTCGTTATAAAGTAATTCTTTTCCTTCAACGGACAAGTCTTCAGCATCTTTTTAGAAAAAAATTATAAAATTTGTTTAAATTATAAATTAAAGATAAGCTAAAATAAGAAGAAAATAAAAGTCTTCAGTCATAAATTCTGAATTATTTTATGATATTAAATTTTTAAGCAAATTAGATGTCGTTATTGTGGAAATTATAAAATATATAGCTATTTAATTCCTAAGGCTTTGCAGTTGGCAGCGCGGTATAATGCATATATACACACCAGTCCAGTATACTGAAGATTCTGGGTCGCTCCCAGCAGCCGATTAACCTTTTGCACTAGCTGAAGGAGAGAAATAGCTATAGCCCAGCTGCTTTACTATATCTATACAAAATTTCAAGATTTTAAGTGCTCATTTATCTAATTTATATTAGAGTAACCACCCGTTAGTTGTCTTTACAAATTAAAGTTTTTACTTGATTTTGTGAAAATAATAGCTATTAACAAAGCAAATTCAATTTTTGTTAATGCAACACGTTTAAAATGAACAACAGATTTTGTAAATAAAAGTTCTGACCATTTAATCATTCTAAAAAATAAAAAATATTTCTCATGTTTTCTAAATTTACCGATCATCATACAAATATTCACAATCCTTCATATCACCAAGAGCCGGCATAACACAATCTTTACGTGTCCAAGTTTCAGATCCTAATTCCCAAGCTAGGTAAGAGCCACTAAATGCAGTAAACATATAAGAAATGTGCCTTAGATGTGCAATCTATTTTATTAAAAGAAAAATAAATTTTGCATTAATCAAGCTTTTCTTTTTTGTTTTTTGTCATTTAACTCAACTTCAATAATGATTTAATACTGCAGATTATCCCATCCCATCGTTAACCCCACTCCAAAAAATATTAAGACTGTACCTGGTTGTCCCTTAGCCCTAAAAAGAATCTGATTTGAAGGCGTACGCTCGCAGAAAACCCAACATTTCGGTGGTTGGTCGCATAGATGGTTGTGCTTTGATCTGTGTCTATTTACAAATAATACTCATCCACCTATAACAAGACTAATTATATACCTGATCAGATAAAGTCAATTTATCAAAAACAGGCATAGATTTAGCTATACCAAAACACACGAATCTGTCAACTAAAAAATATTTGTGACAAAGTTGGTTTTGCATGCTTTCATTTTGTACTGAAAATTCCCGACAATTTAATTCCCCAAATGATATTGGATTTGAGCTTTGCTGCAAAATTAAAAATATAATTTTAATTAAAAATTAAATTAAGAGTTACCGAAAGATTGTCAATTAGACTAAAAATATTTATATTAGATAAAATTATTTCTTCAAACAAAATCGGGCCTTTAAGGAATATACTATCATCCAAATTATTAAATGAATGCATAATACGTTTTTTGGCTTCAATAATTGCCAAAATTAATTCAATTTGTTTTTGATCAGTGAAGGATATGTCGACAATTGGAGAATTTGGAAGCTTAAAAGGTAAAAGTTTAGCCTCGGGGCAGGATTCCAACATTAATATGTAGTACTTTTGCCCTCGTTTAAACAGTTTTATCATTTAATTTATCATGAAAATATCAAAATATTTTATTAAGAATAGAAATATTTGATAAGATATATTCTATTACACAAAGAAATATGTGTGGAATTTTTAGATATTCTCATTTTAGTGGGGGTTCATTTAGGGGTTTTAATTTAATTTTCTCTTCAATTTCTATTTATGAAAAGGAAGCTTAATAGTAAAAATGAAACAAAAGTTAAAGTCCGGAAATTGTAAAGTGTTGGAAAATCGTTAAAATAAATTAAATTTTGATATATTTAATTTGCTGCTAAATTATTAACGCAAGCTTTTAAGTTTTAAAAATTTTTTAATGGAAAAGAAGAATAATTTACCGATCGAAAAATTTAAAATTTTAAAGTATCCCCTTTCCCTTTCCGATTAAAAAATAAATTTACGTTAATTTCCTTGTTTTGTTCTCTCATTGCTTCCAGGCATATATCTTGACGTAAATATCCGACATCTAAGATTATTTTTTAAAATTATTTTTAAATATTTTAAATAGGGTAACATTCCGAGTGGTCAAGAGTAGTGTTCGGCACTCCCGCGGTACTCCCAAAAGTGCCGAGTCGGTATGTTTCGGTACTCCCGGAACTGGAACGACTATAAACCGATTGGACTGTGTTTGGGTGCGGAGCGTTACCCTTATCTTAACAAACCCAATTTTTTCATTCCAACAGAAAGGCATTTTTCAAGTCTACATTTTTGACATTTGGCCAAATTTGTTTGGGATTTTCCGTTTTTATTCCCTTTTAATAATTGTTTTTGCAAACATTTACATTTATACTTGCATTCTCCTTCATTTTCAATATAACGCCTTTTGAAAAAAATTTTAACTTTAATTTTATTAAAAAAATACCTGAAAAAAGCTCCACAAGCCCTACATGTACTAACTCCATAATGAAAACAAACATTTAGTTTTGACTCACAAACTTTGCATTTTTTAATAAAATTTCTTTGCATTTTTAAAGTTAAATTGGTATTTTTTATTAAACGAATAAGGCTAAAGTCCTTTAACAATGCTTAATTAAGTAGATAATTAATGAATAAAAAAGAGAGAGAAGAGAGAGAAAGTGGGGATGCTTTGTTATTTCTTTTTTATTTTTTAAATCAGTTTAGGTATATCTATTTTCTGCAGAGTTCTGTACAGCTATCTGTTTAATTTCTCACTAAAATATTAAACGGTTTTTATGTTGATTTTGTTCCCTAAATCGAAGAATTTAATGTTTATGTCGGCTAGATCCCTTGGATATATAAGAATATACTGTAAAGTAAATATATGTATATCTCTTTAATCCAAAGGCTAAAAAAGGAAACATATCAGTCCGACCTATCCTTTTACATAAGCTGAGGGAAAAATTGCTAGCACATTTCAGCTTTATTTGTGAAGATAAACTAGGAAAAATAATTATTTAAGGTAGGAAAATTATTGTTTCAATTCTTCAATAAAGAGGGTAATAAAATATAGCTGATTTTAAAAAACTAAAGACTGAGGGGCTATACTGGCCAAACTCCGGTTATATAAGCTTATAAAATATTCTTTAGCAATAAATATTTACGTTTAATTTGATAGATACAAAAATTTGTTGGCAAAAATTGATATAATACGTTTTACATAGCCATCGAGAAACTGCTTAGGAGAGAATTTTTGAATATATTCAATTCAAAAAATTCCCTCCTAAGCAGTTTTTCAATGGCTTTGTAGAACGTATTTAATTTTAATTTTTGGCTTTTTGTTTGAGATTTGGCTAAACAAATAAATTTTCTAAATAAAATCTGAAAGAGACTTTAAAGACAGGCAAGTTTTGTTGAAGGGATAATATGCCGTTAGATTAAAAAAAGGAATTATCGTGGTTAGAAAGCTTTATTTAATAAACAAAATTTCTTTTCAATTACAAAAATAAAAATTAAAAACGGCTAATTAAACAAAAATGGAACGAAAATTAATTTTTATTAACGCCAATCTAAAATTGGTTGGATCGCTCATCCGTGTGTTAACGCTCTAAAATCAGAGAAAATGAAAAAAGATTTTTATTTATTGATTTTAGACTTAAAAAATTTTGGTTCTGATGTTAGGGAAGGTTGAATTTTTTTAGAATTGTTTAAAATGTCAAACAGGAAATCGGGATGATGTTTGTAAGAAAATTATATTTTTATAGATTAAGAAAAATTTAATTTAATAAACTATCGTTCATGCCACAATCAAAAATCAATTCCTAAATTAAAGATTAATATCGAAGTGTTGACATACACTGCTCCACAAAAGTATAGCGCCACCCCTATTTGTCTCGGTTTCAATATTTTAACAGGGGTTCTTATTTTTAGACTTTTTTGTAATAATAAATAGTGTTCTAAAATCAGTTTCAGAAAAAAATTTTGTTTTCAAATCAATTTTTTCGATAGTTATAGGCAAATCCTTAGTTTTAGGGTTCCACAAAAGTATAGCGCCACTTTGAAATTTCGAGTTTCTAACAATAAGATAAATTTATAAAAATTTGAACTAGCATATTTATCGATTCTAAGAAAAAATAAAAAAGAATTAGACTATCTTGTAGCAAATTTTAAGGGCTTTCGAAAAAGCCCATAATGAAAATTTAAAACAAACCATAAGGGGTCGAAAATATTTTTTAAAGAGCCCTACCCCCTATTTACGTTGATTACCGAGGTATCTGGATCTCGACACTGAAGTGAGATATGGGTCTAATTCTTTTTTATTTTTTCTTAGAATCGATAAATATGTTAGCACAAATTTTTGTAGATTTTTGTTAATATTAGAAACTCGAAATTTCAAAGTGGCGCTATACTTTTGTGGAACTCTAAAACTAAGGATTTGCCTATAACTATCGAAAAAATTGATTTGAAAACAAAATTTTTTTCTGAAACTGATTTTAGAACACTATTTATTATTACAAAAAAGTCTAAAAATAAGAACCCCTGTTAAAATATTGAAACCGAGACAAATAGGGGTGGCGCTATACTTTTGTGGAGCAGTGTATGTATGTATAACCAGTCTTAAAAGCATATTTTGGATGAAGCATATCCGTGGTCCAAATTAAAGAACATTTGTCAGGGTCCCGGCAAATAAATTTTTATTTGGACAAGACACTAAATCCAACACGACTTCTTTCCCTACACGACATGAAATACCAGAACATGAATGACCCTCAGGACAAGAAGCATAATAATTCGGTCACCTGACGATGCTTACTTGACCATGGTTAGGTGACCTTTGCTAGGTAACCACAAAATCATTGTAAACCGGTAGCAAAAAAATGGATTAAGGCATTGTCGTTTGTGCTTCAGTTTGGGGTATTCCATGATTATGGTAAATTATGAAAATTTACGTATCCGATGATCATGAAATGTATGATAAAATTATGAGAAAAGTTAAATTTTTTAGTTGTTTACGAAAAGACTTAAAATTAACAGACTTAAAATTTAAGTTCCTATTTTCGGAAGTCGGATTATACATTCCGTGGGGCATACGTTTTATTGAATATTTGGAATGTAGTTGCCAGAATGAACAGTTTTACAGACTTTAGAATTTGTAGTATTATCCAGTCTAACTTGTATTAGCCTTTTTTTATAAAAAAATTAAAGTCGATCAAATATTTGAGATATAATATTTTCAAATATTTTGGATCAAATTTGATTTGCTGTTTTTTGGCATAAATCAAATGATTATTTGATAAGAATTTGATTTCATTGTATTTCTAATCTCTATGTATTTGTAAGGTATCTCTCTTTGGATTGACTTAACAACTTTTATTTTAATTTATCCTCTCTCTAACTGAATTTTGAAATTTTTAATCATACAGTCAACTCTTTGCCTAAACTAAAATTAATTGTTACCAAAGCATTTTAGCCCAACCGTGGGCAACCAAATTGAAAAAAACGTAAGAATTTCCCCCCACATCAGAGTGAAAGCTCAATAAGAAAACGGCTAATTAAACAAAAATTGGAAACGAAAATTAATTTTTATTAACGTTAATCCACAATTGGTTTATTTAAAAATAAAATGGATTTTAAAAAAATAGAAAAATTAATGGGGGTTTTGGATAAAATAATTTGAAGTTTATATGTATTTTTCTAATTCAACACTTTTTTTCTTATCATTTTCCAACTTTATTTATAACTTCCATAAGTTGTGGTATTTTGTATTTATGTCCAGTTTTGTAACCCTTGAAAATTTTTTTGAAAATTTTTAAATAATTTCTTTGTTTGTTTAAACATACAGCTCCATCCAATTGACGCATCCACGCCTCCCATTCTAATTCTCCAACTCCCCATTCAATATCACCTATACGCTCTAAAGTGTGCACCATTTTGTCACCGTTTTTATCAGCAGCGACGCGATTCATTCCATTTGCTAAGAGATAAAATTTAACTAAATAATTTATTTCCGTGTTTTTATTTGATGTAAATTTCCCTTTTCTTCTATTTTCAACTAATATTAACTCTATCTAAAAAGTCAAAATTATATTGCATAAGAATAGGGTTTCTTGTAGGTTCTTGGAAAATATTCGGATATCCGTCGGTTTTCTGGGAAGATACCCCAGATAAGAGGTCCTCCCAGCCTAGATGATAAAAAAGGAAAAATGTACCAATCGGAGACTATGCTATGCGAAATCTCGTTTTGGACTTTTTTGTCCTTTTTCATTTTGTTTCGGAGCGAAGTAAAAAATTGTTCCGTTACGTTCCGAATTTTTCTATGATTTTTACGAAATTTTATGACCTTAAGAAATCGTGTCAGTATTCAGAAACAATTTCTAGTCAAAAGATCTCTCTTAATTTTCTATAATTTATTTATACCTCCATGTTTAGCAAGTTCATAAGTTTTATTTATCTCTTCTTTACCCGGCAAAATAATATTTTTCAAACCGCCAGACAAAGCTGAAATTTGTGCTTTACAAGCATTAAGTGTATGATAGGCTAAATGTAAAGCTTCCTCTACTGTTGTACCGCAACAGGCAAAACCATGATTTCGAAGGAAAATGACCTTTTTTAAATTTTTTAATATAAAAATTTTTTTTGAAACTTTTTTGCCAGTCAATTCTTTAGCAATTTCTGCCTTTTCTTCCTCAACAGAAAGCATTCCAGTGAAAGTAATATAGCCTACTGGGCCAATAACCATAGCTTCTTAAATAATTTTTTAAAATATTTTAAGTTTCCATAAGTATAGATGAGGCCTAAACGGATGAAGCAACATCCCTAGTTTTTAGGAAAGCTTGCCTTGCGTAATAGGCAAAAGTCCACATTCCATCGAAGCAACAGCCGCGCCAATAGAAGTATGAACATGAAGTACACATTTAATTTCGGGAAAAGCTTCATGAATGGCTGTGTGGAGAATATAACCAGCTTGGTTAATACCTCAAGGAGATGGATTTTATAAGTTTTTTGTTTAAAAAATTCATAGGCATGCCTAATGGTGTTGAGCCTCCATCTATTATACGCCCATCAGTAGTAATCTGTAAAGATTAGGAATCATTATACATAATTCTTTTTTGACTCATTATCAAAGCGCGGGATATAGGTTGCCTTGAGCGACCCCTTCTAGGTTGAGTTTATCCTAGGCGATTAAAAACTTTTTATTGGCACGGAGATGGTTCAAAAAGCGTCACAAATTGAATTATTTTTTAGGATATACATAATCCTGGAATATTTCTCAGTAGAATTTTACACAATTAAGTTTCCAGTATGTTATAAATAGGGATGGGATTTATATGGATTTCCATATTTTTTTCCTGAACTCGTTGGGTTCTGAAACGTCCAAAAAACATGTTTTTAGCATATGGTGATAAGGCCGTTTTTGAGTTATCAATCCATATTTTCCATATTTTTTCATATTTAGGCGTTCCGTCCATATTTTTCATATTTTATCCATATTTCGCCATTTTTTGTAAAATTTTGCCGAAAATTGGTCAAAATTTTCAAATTTATGAAATTTTTGGTCAAAAATTTTTACAAAAAAATTTTTTGAAAAAATTTTTTCAAAAAATTTTTGAAAATTTTTTTATAAGAATTTTGACAAAAATTTTACAAAAAATTTTCGACTCAAATATTATCCAAAATATTTTTAGAAACAAAATAATCACTATTAATTGGTTTATTTGTATTAATTTGCTTCAAAATTAACTTAATTAACATTTTGCTGCTTAAAGATGGAAATTCTACGATAAAAATTTTCAGTTTTTGGCCCATATTTGATCCATATTTTGGATTTTAGTCCATATTTCAGTCCATATTTTGAGATTTTTAGTCCATATTATATGTCATATTTTTCGATTGATAGTCCATATAAATCCCATCCCTAGTTATAAATATGCTTAAAATTTTTCTAGACATACCTTCACTAAAGAGCTGGCAGTTATTTCACGATAGAGGAGACCAAAAGGATTAATTAAAATTTCGTGTTTACCCTCTCCTGGAAGACGAAGCTAAAAAAAAGAATTGAGAAAGACATTGAGAAAATAACTGACAGAGATATGATTGTAGATAGCCTGAGACCAATGAAACAAGTCTACAAGTCGGTATAGCGTAGCTAATTTATTACGGCCTTCCACTTCTTCCTTGGAATATTTTCCTCCTTCTTTCAAATCCGCAATTGGAATTAATGGTTTATCTGGAAGAATAAATTTCAATTTTAGATATCAATAGGAAAAAGCTATAATCAAAAATTTGAGTTTTTTGGGGTTGTTTCTGATCTACCCATGGTTTTGGCATGCCCATTAATGTTCTCAAGTTATAATACAGGGTGTCCCAACTAAAAAGCACTATTTTAAAAATTAATAACTTTTTACTATCTTGACGGATTTTAATGATTTTTGGTATTTTATATCTATAATTTATGAGAATTTTTTTGACATAAAAATTATGTCTAAATTCGAACCCTAACCCGAGATAATTTCGTACTCTATCGTTCTGTTTTTCCCTTTTTCCGCACATGCATTCTACTCCCTTTTGTTTTTTTTTAGCAGCGATAGACACTAGAGTAAACACTAGGCGATTGACACTAGATTTTCAATACAGTATCCACTCTTCGCCATACGCAGGAAAATAAATGAAGTAAGATAGCGCACAATGAAAAGAGGGAAAAAAGAGAACGGTTGAGTACGAAATTGAAATAAAGGGTTAGGGTTCGAATTTAGACATAATTTTTATGTCAAAAAATTCTCATAAATTATAGATATAAAATATCAAAAATCATTAAAATCCGTCAAGATAGTAAAAAGTTATTAATTTTTAAAATAGTGCTTTTTAGTTGGGACACCCTGTACAGTTTCTTGTTATTATGGAGAGTCTCTTGTTTTTGAACAGTACTTAAAGTCGGTACACGTCAATTGAGTCCCGACTCAATTGAGTCCCGGACCCTATAACTTATCAAGGGATGGTCACTTTTTGTTACTCTTGGTACCATTGGATAGGGCATTAAATAGGCTACAATATACCAAAAAATCAAAATTCCTGACCGACCGGTAAAAAAGTTATGATCGGTAAAGTGCCAAAAAATCAGATTTTTTTGAAAAAGTTAGCTTTTAGATCATAACTTTTTTATCAATCGGTCAAAAATTCTGATTTTTTGATATTTTGTAGAGCTTTTGATTCTCTATCCAATGATACCAAAAACATTAAAAAGTGACCATTCCTTGCTGAGTTATAGGGCCGGGACTCAGTTGAGCCGGGACTCAGTTGGACTGCTCCGACTTAAAGTGTAAATAAGGCAGAAAAAATCCTTTTTAAAAATTTCAGTTAAGGACAAGATCTCTTAAGATGCCTATTTATTAGGGCTGTTGGCGACCGGTTATTAACCGGTACCCCCGGTTTTCTGTTAATCTAAATTTTAGAAACCCGGTTTTCGGTTTTGAGTTTTAGGCAAATACCGGTTTGTTTTTGGGGGAATTTTAAATAAAATCACTCATTTTCGCAGATTTCCGCTTTTTAAAATTTTTGGGAAAAAATTTCAAAAATTCCGGTTTTAAAACCGGTCGCCAACAACCTTACTATTTATCTTGAATCTCGATAACTTTATTTTAGATTTTTAGTTAGATGATTATTTTTTGGATTATTATTACTCAGACTTAAGCATGTGTACAATTTAAATTAGTGGTTGGCAATGACGGTGGCGGATCCTGATATCCGGATCCGAAAAAGGCCGGAAAAAAGGCCAACTATCCGCCAAACTTATTTGGCAAATGCTGTTTTCGAAGTTTGGTATTCGATAATCTTGGAACATTAGGATAAATTTTTTTCAATTGAGCATACCCTTTTATTTAGTACAACCCCTTACATAATTAAATCAATTCAAAGCTACATATTTCAGTTATATCCTTCCCAAGATTTGTCGAAAAGAAGAGAATACCCCGACAAATAATTTATATACTAATTTTATCACCTCCAAAACCATTAAGATTTAATGACAAATCCATTTCTAAATTTAAAAGGCAAAATAAACTTAAAATAAATTACTAAAATAAATAAATAATAATAAATTTGGGAATATTTATATGTAATTTTGTTAAAATTTTTTATAGCTTTACAGTCATTAAAGAGTAAATAACGTGTTTATATTTTTATAATTTTACTGATAGTATTTTTGATAAAATGCTTAAAATATTTTTGTTTGATTACTTTATACTAAAGGAAACTAGAAGAATTGTAGTTATATGGAAAAAAATATTTTGTTGGTTAAAAATGTGAATAATAATTGTCAATAAAATTATGATAATAATTTTGTTTGTTTTACGTGAATAAAATTTCGTACAAAAATTAGAGTTCACGTTCAAACAAAAAAAATCAGAGTTTCAAAAAATCAAAGGGCTTTTTTCGAAACAAAAAAATTATAAAAAAATTTAAAACTATCGGTTCCGTGACATTTGCGCCGAGAACATTTGCGCCGCGACTTATGCGCCGCGACTTTTGCGCCGCGACTTATGCGCCGAGCGACTTTTGCGCCGCGACTTATGCGCCGAGCGACTTTTGCGCCGCCACTATCATTAATAATTAATGGACCTCAATATAGAAGTTATAGGATAGTTGGAGATCTTCGGATATCAAGATCTGGATCCGATATCCGACCTAAAATTTTCGGCCATTCGGCCTTTTTCAGATCCGGATCCCACTTAGCAGAAAATCATGTCTGAATAAGGGTAGCAGACCAAATATCCATATTTGAAAAAGTCAAGTTTTTTGAAGATGACCCCTCTAGGGGGTCGGTTATTAGAGGGGGCTATTGTACTTCCCGAAATATTGTACTTCCTGAAATTCCTTTAGCTCCTGGATACCATTTTTGAAGGAGTACACTATAATTAGGTCCAAATGTAGATATTTTTTTAAAATTACGGCGGCGCAAATGTCGCGGCGCATAAGTCGCCCGGCGCAAAAGTCGCGGCGCAAAGGTCGCCCGGCGCATAAGTCGCGGCGCAAAAGTCACGGCGCATAAGTCGCCCGGCGCAAAAGTCGCGGCGCAAATGTTCTCGGCGCAAAAGTCGTGATACCAAACTATCGATATATTCAAATTAAAAATTTCAAGAAAAGAACCGAAATTTTATTTTCCTAAACAGCTTAGATCAAAACTGACAATTCTCTATTTAATAAATTAGTAAAGTAAAATTATTTATGTCCTCAAATTTTAATCCGATCTCCTGTTATTTTGTAATATTGCACCCTGAACGCTCGAGTAATGGATTCGTGGTAATGGGATTTCAAAATTGTTTCGGGGCGTGGTTCGGGTTGGGAGAGCAAAATATGGTTGAAGTTTTTGTCGGGTATGCGGTTTTAATAAAAAATTGAAGGAGAATTTTTAATCTTTTTAATCTGATTTTTATTCTCTCCAAATTTCCGCACTAGAAAGATTCCTTCTCAACTAAAATCAAGTAAATATTATCTAAAGAAATATTCATAAGCATGTGATCACTTTAATATTTTATTTATTTGTTTATATAAAATATTTAATGGTCATAAATAGAATATAAAGAACAAAAATCAGAAAATTTCAATAAAAATTCTTTAAATATTTAATTTTTATCTTCTTTTCTGTGAATTTTAATTTGTTGGCTTGCCTGAAAACAGAATTTTAAGAATTAGATAACTAAAGGTAAACGTCTTTTAGGTCATTTAATGAAGGTCCCTCATTTCCCAATGAGGGGTAATAAAATTCCAAAACACATAAACTGGAAGTGTGCTAGGTTGGAGTGTTTATTAAATAGAGGTTTTTACGGAGTTGGCTTGTCAAAAGTTAAAAGGATCTATAGAAGTATACAAAAGCTGAGGCATTTTTTGATTTTTAATTGTCAAAGAACACAACTCCAAGGCTTCGAACGGAACGTAATGTTTGTGTCACATACTAGAATCCCTTTACTATATTTCTTAGATTTACTCCAAATAAAATTTTAAATACTTCTTCACGTGTTTCTTGTGCTCCAAAAATATATGGGCAATTCGCTAGTAGAGGAACAAACTTTCCCCATCCAGGTTCAACTTTAAGTTCACCACAATTCCAAACAACTTTTCCTCGAGAAATAGTCACTTCTGGTACTCCACGTACTTCCATTCCTTCTAAATAATAAATGAGTTTTAGTTAGAAAAGTTTAGAATTTTAAGAGTTGGATGCACTTATAAAGGGATATAGTCAGAGATCAAAATCAAAAAAAATAATCAGAGATCAAAAATTAGTCAGAGATCAACGCGAGACAAGAGCCTGTTCAAAAATCTTGGTTATCAAGATTTTAAAGATACCGAGCTAGAATATCAAACGATCCTCAAATCCAGTTTCCAGTTATAACAGGAAAATGGATTCAATTATAACTATTATTATACTTATTAGTTTTGGTCTATTTTGGAAAAACCTGACAATAACGTAATATTGGTGCTTCCCTTATATCCTTAAAATATAGGTAATATGGATTAAGAAAGAGACCCTAAAGAAGAGTATTTTTAATTGAAGCTATTTTTATACTAACCAAAAACATTAAAATCAGTAGCATGATGATGAGTTTTTGCAGAAATTTTTCTATTAGAATTTGGATTCCATATAACAATATCTGCATCAGACCCTTCCTGTATTCTTCCCTTTTGTGGATAAATATTAAATATTTTTGCTGCCATTGTACTTAAAAATAAGGCAAATGATTTAAATATTCCTCTCAAGGAACCTAGTAACAGCCACAAAACGCATTGGATTTAATTTTCCACTGCAGACACCCTTTTCCCAAACTAGTGACATTCGGTCCTCAACACCGTTCACACCATTCGGAATTTTTGTAAAATTCCCAAGACCCATTCTCTTTTGCTGACAAGTAAAAGTACAGTTGTCTGTGGCGACTAAATCTAGTTGTCCGCTGAAATTATTTTACTGCCAGACCTTATTATAAGATCACAGAAGTGCAGCCATTAGGGTCCGGACAATAAAAATAGCTAATGGGGGCTATTTTAGAGGGAATACGGTAGTGTACGAAATGGGGATAGCTGTTGGCCATTTAACCAGTAACCACGTTATTATTGTGCGAGCCTAGATGAGGAGCCCTTTATTTAAGAGGGCTTATTCTAAAATACCTCATTCTAAAATATGTTTTCACTCCTAATTGTATATCTTATAGTAGTGAGGTCCAAATTTCAGATGATATTGACTAAAAATAAATTATTTTCCTACCATGCCAATAAATCCATTAAAGCATTTGGAGTGCTCGGGTCTTTGCTTAGAGGAGGCCTTAAAATCGAAAATTTATTTTTTAAATCATTCATGTTTACGAAAGCACGAATGCAGCTGCATGACTAAAATCTTCATTAAAATAATGGGATCCATCAAGTGCCAATCCGGCAGCTATCGGCTCTCCGAAAATTGGAAGACCTCCATTGCTTTGCCTTTGGGCAGCTATAGCAGATGCTGCTCCTTTAATTAGTTATTTGATTTATCTGGATATGGATTGGGGCTTCAAATTTTAAAATAGTGCCTGACATTTGACCTTAAATATGCCTGACATAAGATCCAGAGTTCGCTGGAATTAATTTACTTTAAGGAATTAATTTACTTCGCTGGAATTAATCCCTTAACCCTTTGCAATTGCCTATACTGGGCTACCGTATACGACAACCTGACCTCCCCTGCATAAGAGTTTTAAACCCTGTTTTGTGTCTCATCCCTTTAAATATCAAAAAAGTTTTCTTTCAATTTCTTTAAGATTTTGAGTAAACCATTAAAGGAAACCTTTAGTCATAACGTGAACAACATAGAGAGGGCAATTTGCCATTTTTGCAATAGTACAAGCTCTATTGGTAGCTTCAGCTTCTAACTGTTCAGGTCTTGATTGAACATGTCCTAAACTTAATTAATTTTCAAAAATTCCTCAAAAATCTTTTCACACCTTCAGGCCCAGTAATTCCAATTTCTAACAATTCCTTTTGTTTTTCGGCTATAACATGCCCGTTTTCTGCGTGGACACGTGCTAAAGCTCTTAATTTTGCACACTGTTTGAGGCCCTGATTTTATTATAAAAATATATTTTTTGGGTATAAACTAGCCTGATAAAATTGTTTATCGGTAACCATAAAAACATTTTCGTAGGCGAGAAAAAATTTGAAAGAATTGATTCCTTTAAATTGAATATTAAACTTGGTAAAAAAATTCCCTTCAAATTAGTAAATATGTACTTGTTCAAGATGAAAATTTTGTATTAAAAATCTAGATACTGTTGAATGTTCATGTAAAATCTCTTAAGGATTTACTCTAAGTTAGAATTCTTCTTTTTGTTAAATATTTGTATGAAATTTTGTATTGAATATTATTAGAGGATTAGCCAAAAAAAAGGCTTGATGAAAACTTTAAGTATACTAATGGCTTTGGCTCTAAACAATATGTACATATGTCCGGTATTTCTCTTACATATCTCTTGCAAATTGTCACCCAAAACATTTTAATGTTTTGGGTGACGTTTCACATTTTATTAAAAATTTTTTTTTAAAAATCCAAATGAAACTTTTACCAAATTCTTGCTTAACCAATATTTCCATTTCCTCAGCTATTTTTTCATTCCAATTAGTAATAGCCATAGAAAGGCCATAGTCACAACAAACCTTTTATTTTTTAACAATTTCTTAACCGAAAAAAAAACCAAACTTTAGGGTCTGCCCATTCCCTCCATTGTTTATAAGCTTCTAATGGAGTACTTTCTTTTGGTGGAATAGCAAAGTCAATGATCTTTTTTTAAATATTTTTTAAATTTAATTAAATCTAGTAACCATGGTTGTTCCACCAGCCAATGCTGCTCTTGTTCCATGATAAAAGTCATCGGCGGCAACTGTGCCCATAAAAGGGAGTTGCATATGTGTCTGTATTATGAAAGTAGGGTTGTCGAATTTAGATATCCGGATCCAAAAATAGGCCGGATATCCGGAATTTTTCGGTTTGGATATCGGATCCTGATATCCAAAGATTTCCATCAATTCTCAATCTTAGTAGCGATGGTAGGTAAAATGGGGTTACTTGTTATCTATTTTTTATACAAAGTTACCCCCAACTCATTTTCTCTGTTAATTAGATTTGCCCACGTTTGTAAGGGAAGAATATAAAGAGTATGACGGATATATTGTTTGTTCTTCTCTCCCCCGTCTTATATCAACTATTACGTTAATAATATTGCTACTTTAATAGAGGACAAACAAATGTTACGTGTTTATCATCCAAAAAATTTTTATTTTAGAAATTATTCAATTTACATAGACACACTTACATGTGGATCAATGCCTAAAATATTTTAGAAAGTAAATCATATTTAATAAAAAAAATCCCATCATTTACCTCCAGGGATCACTAAACGTCCACTAGCATCAATTACTTCAATATTACTCTGTTTAGAAAATTCCTTAGCCAACCCTTGTTTAACAGCACTTGAAATTTCACAAAATTTTCCCGAAGAAAAAATTTATTTACATAATTTTATTTCCTTCAACAAGTACATCAGCTTCAAACATACAATCATCGTTTACAACAGTTCCTCCAAAAATTAATAAAATATTTTTTTGGGGTTTGGATTGACTCATTTATTTATTTTTTATTTAAGAAATGAGGGAAACAACTGATTAATAATTTAATAAGAGTAAAAAATAAATAAATTCTGCAAGTAATGAAAAATAAAAATAAATAATAATCAATTTATTACAAAAAATTGTAAATAAATATAATATGTAATAAATCGTAAATGATAATTATGAAAATTGAAATATAAAAGTAAAAATAAAAATAAGGGTAATTAAAAAAGGAAAAAAATAATAAAATTTTTTTTGAACTTTTCTCACTCATTATCTTAAAAAATTTATTTCCTTTCAAATTCTCCTTCACTGTATCAAATAATTTTTAAAATTCAAGTTTCCCAGTATTAGTGATGGGCGGAATTTTTACTTACAATTTTTTCTAGAGATGTCCAGAGCCAAAAATTTTCTAAGAATTAAGACAGATTGGATCTTTGCAGGACCATGACTTAACCACGATATCAAAACAACTAGGCTTAAATCCGTCAGTCGACGAAAATCCGTCGGTCGAGGATTTTTTCTTGCTTGTTTTTATCGAGTCGGGCGTGTAGGAGTCACTTTCGGGCCTACCTTTATCGAGTCGGTCACCGAGACATTTTCGAGACTTTTAAAGAATTTATTTAGAAATAATTTGTGGATTTGGATGGATATCGGAGAATTGAAAGTGATTTCGACAGATTTGGAGTGTAAAGGAAGGGCTACAGAGATATCGGGTGATTAAAAGGGATATAATTGGATTTGGAGGGATTAAGGGGATATGAGTATATATCTGAGGATTGAGCTGGGATAACGGTAGATTAATAATTATTACCTCAACTTCACACTATTTCTTCATGGCATTAAATCAGTCAATAAAATAATTAAATTTTTTTCTTTTTCACTTTTCAGAACGTTACAAGCTCAAATAATCTCTTTCTCTCTCTCGTTTTCTCTCAGATAATTACCCTCTTCCAATTTCCTTCAACTAACGCCAGAATATCCCTCCATTTAAATTTCTGTTTAAATATTTGTTTATTTAGCTGACAAATTAAAATTAAACACGTTCGAATAACCTAAGCGATTACGGACGATATCATGGGATGTGGAGGGCTATTGAGGCATCCATATCCCTCCACATGGGATATGGAGGGATACCTCACCAAATCCCTCTTAATTTCCAAATAAATTAACGATAATAGAACCACCTTTTTTAATTTAAAATATTTTTCAGTGTGGGATCCTGCATCCCACACTGGATCCTGCAAAATGGATCCTGCAAAATGCCCGATGATGGCAAATAACCATTTTTAGATTAATGATAATAAAAATTAATTTTCTTTTTCATTTAAATTTTTGTGTGTTTAATTAGCTGTTTTGAATAAATTTAAGTTTTTTAAAATAAAATTTTATTTATTAAATAAAATATTCATTCATAGAAAGATGAGAGATGAGCTTCAAATTTAACTAAATTGATTAAATCCAATCATTCAACTTAACTTTCTTCTATTCAATTTTTGTTTATAAAATTATTTGTTTATTCAGCTGATAATTTTACGAACCAAAATGAATATTAAACACGTTCTCATACCCCAAAATCCTCCATTTAATTTTTTAAATTTTAGTATTCTACATACCAATTTTGCCATCAAATTTTTTATACTTAATGAAATATGTATAAAAAATGAATATTTAATTTTTTAAAAGCTAATAGAGCCGCGTTTCTTTTGTTAGGCTAAAATAAAAATTATTTTTGCCTGAAAAAATTCTATAAACGATATTCTTTAATTAAACCGTTTATTTCAATTTTTATAAAAATCGCCTTAAAAGCTTGATAATAAGCATTTATCAACATTATTTTAATTAGAAAAAATACAAATTTATTTTAAAAATGCAAAGAAATTTTATTAAAAAATGCAAAGTTTGTGGGACAAAAGAACGTGTTTGTTTTCATTATGGAGTTTGTACATGTACAGCTTGTGGGTCTTTTTTTAGGTATTTTTGTTTTTGTTTAATTTAAAAATTTTTTTGTAAAATTCCGTCATTCACTCATACTCCGATTTGGACAAACAATATTTCGGTAGAAAAATCTCGACGAGCTGAGTTGGACGACACTAACATAGCTTCCGGACACTGGGTTATGTAAAGTCATGTCATTATGTCATAAATATACATATAAAGTTATGTCATAAATATTAACTTAAAGAAAGTCGCGGAACAGGATCAGAGGTACGCCTGAGAACGTGAACATGCTCAAATTCCGAGTATACTCCAATCTATAGGTTTTGATGAGGAAAAGCGCGATGAAAGCTTGTTGTTGGTGCCCTATAATCTCAGAAAAATTCAATTTTTTACCATTTAGCGAAGACTACAAGTAACCTCTTAGGCAATTCGTAAGTCAAGTGAAACTTATTTCAGCCGAAAAAGTATTTTTTGAACGAGAGTGTTTGAATCGCCAAGATTAAAGATATTGGGCAACTAAATCTCCTCTTTCTAACCAACTTGTTAGATATCAAGCTGATTTGTCAAATCAAGCTGATCTTGATGTCATTCGACGCAGCTAGTCGAGCAGTTTCGAATGACATATTGGTTGTCCAAATCAGAGTATGGGAGATATGACGGAATTTTTCCAAAAATTTCCTTCCAAAAGGCGTTATCTTGAAAACGAAAATGTGTGGAAATATAATTTATGTAAATGTTCAAAAGAGAATAAAGGCGAAAAATCCCAACCAGATTTTGCAAAATGTAAAAAATGCAGACTACAAAAATGTCTTTCTGTTGGAATGAAAAAATTGGGTTTGTCAAAATAAGGGTAACACCCTATCCCCTAATACTCTCTTTATCACTTATAATCCTTTTATATCTCTTCATGGTGATTCAAGTGAGGTATATACAAGAAAGATACAAGACGTGTGTATTACCGGTATAGTAGTGATGGTCGGGAGTTAAAAAAAGCCGAGAGTCGGGAACCGAGACCGAGACCGGGAATCAACCCCGAGACCGAGTCCCGGGTCGAGACCGAGAGTCGAGACCAAGAGATTAGGAGGGATATCACTTGATATACCCTTATATATCCTTCATAATCCCCCAAATTTCTTGAATCCCCACATCCACAATATAACTTTATTTCTTTTAAATCTTCCGATATCCACCTTAATCCACTCCAATTTCATTCATTTTTTGCGCCGCAGGCGAAAATTTTGAGAATTTTGGAGGTCATGAAGCCAGATTTCTCCCATTTTTTACGCCGCAAGTGAGTATGTATACTGAGGATTTAGGCGCCTTATGCGAAAATTTTAAAAAATTCATGATTCAATTAAAATTTTTAATGTCTTTTCAGGTTAAAATATTTAAAAAATAAATTTGAAATCAAAATCAAAGTTAAAAGAAATTTATTTTTGAAAAGAAAAATTTTTTTCAGCCTAAATCCAAACCCTGGATTCGAACCCAAACCTAACAAAAAGCAAATTAATTGAAGTCAGTCAGCTTAACCACTCAACCATCGACCATCAAAAGGAAAAATGGGAGAAAATATAAATATTTCTTTCCCTTTTCCTTAAAAAATAAATGTCGAAGTACGAGGGTTACGAGTAAAATTAAAAAAATTTCCGTCATTAGGGGTGTAAATTTAGTCTCGTTTTCCGAGACCAAAACACCGAGACCGAGACCGAGAGCTCAAAAAACCCGGGAAATTTCCCGACTCGGGAACCAAGACCGGGAATCCCGACCATCACTACGGTATAGCTCCATTTTATGGACATTATATTAGAGACCGGAATTTCTTTCCCTCGATTAATTTCCTCTCTATCGAGATGTTACCCAGAGTCAAATACCTAATGAAATACCTAATTCCAATGAAATATCTACCGTATATGCTTAATTACCCACTGCAACCAGAGGTTGAAACAATAATTACCCCTCTTAAAAATACAGGGTGTTTCAACTAAGAAATACTATTTGAAAAATCTATAACTTTTTACTAGGGTTCAGCGGTACCGGTATTCCGAGAAAAAACCGGTATCGGTATTTCGGATTGATGATACCGATCCCGATACCGGTACCGACTCGGGATCGGGATTAGCCTAAATCGGTATCGGGATTTGAGTTGATGATACCGATACCGGTACCGATACCGACTCGGGATCGGGATTGAAAAATCGGTATCGGTATTTCCTAAAAAATTTTAATAAATTTTAATCTTTAATAAATAAATTCATTCTTCATTTTGAAAAATGTTTTAATCAGTAATAAAATGATAAATTAGCACTATTAAAGCTATTCTCGAGACAAAAAACATCTCAGGAGCCAATAGAAGACCTTCCAAATCCATCGATATCCACTTGAATCCTCCGATATCATCTTGATCCAAGGTCATACTCCCGATTAAGCTTTATACCTCAAATCAACTTTGGGGATTAGGAGGGATATCGGTAGACTTTTTGGGTGTACTAGGGATACCTCCGATAATCGAATAATATCCTTCAATATGTGGAACAGACCTGCATAAAACTTTTTTTCCATTAAGCTTCCTTCGTTAACAAAAACCTGTGTTGCATTAATAAACATTAGTTATTTTTTAAGCCAAAATTTTAATCACCGAAGGAGCAAAATCGAAAATTCCGAAAATTTTAAGGTCAAAAAGCCTAGTTTTGACGCATTTCAGCGCCGCAGGCGGAATTTTTAAAATTATTGTAAAGTCAATAGGCCAGAGTTGTTCCTTTATTAGCGCCGCAGGCGAAATTTTTAAAATTATTGTAAAGTCAATAGGCCAGAGTTGTTCCTTTATTAGCGCCGCAGGCGAAATTTTTAAAATTATTGTAAAGTCAATAGGCCAGAGTTGTTCCTTTATTAGCGCCGCAGGCGAAATTTTTAGAATTTTAAAAGGCCGTGGGTAAAAAAATTTGCTTTTTCAGCGCCGCAGGCGAAAATTTTGAGAATTTTAGAAGACCAAGAAGCCAGATTTCTTCCATTTTCAGCGCCGCAGGCGAAAATTTGAGAATTTTAGAAGGCAAAGTGGCTAATTTCGTTCATATAAC